TGCACTGCAATGTTTTCTAGGAGATAAACCCCATGAAGTAATATTAAAGCAGGTAAAACAGGGCACAGGGGAGGAATCTTATTACCAGAAAAGGCTGATGAGTTCAGGGAATTAGGAGGGGAAAAAATGAAATTTATATTAATAATAGTCATTTATTACCTGTAACAAGGCAGCAAACACCCTGATGAGCAGGTACAGAGGCACAGTGGCTGCATTGCCCATTTTGCAGAAGCCCCTCCCCTGATTCTAAAGCAGCTTCAGTTCAGTTTAACTCAGTGCTGGCTTTGCTCAGGGACTTCTCCTTCGAGGCAGGTCCAGTAGTTACTACCAGGAGAAAGTATCTATAGATTGGTGTTGCTCAGCTGGGTGTGTGTGAGTGCCAGTGGGTCAGGCGGGAGAGCCCTGGGGTGCTTTCGGGAGCTGCTCTGCATGTGCAGCACCAGAGAGGTGTTGGTGGCCAGGTGGCAGCTGACAGCCCACAGCAGCAGAAAGCCCCACAGTGCCATACAAGGGCTCTTGCAGGGCCAGGGAGTCTCCTAAACCTGCTGTGGACACAGAGCCAGGAACAGGGTGACCCTTTCCTGTAACTCTCCTCCGGCGCCACATTATGAGACGGCTCTTCCAGGAACAGCCTCCTCATGTTGGAGCTTTATGGCTGAGGCACACTGGAAGCTCACCAATGACTGCTTGGATCTGGACTATTTTTAGTCAGTCCTGTCCAAAAGCAAAATCTTTCTTGAAATAGTGGTTGTTCCTCCTGGAAGAGTGGTTTAACACTGGATCTGGGAGAGTCACTCAAAGGACAAAGATGCTGACAAGCTCCAGGGAAATGGTTTGGTGGGAAGCCAGTGCACTGGGTGGTGATGCACTTTCACAACCAGGGCCAACAGCCTCGGTGCAAACAGTGCTGCTCCCCAGCACACACCCTTGATGTGTTGGACAGCAGTTATTTACCAGCAGCTTGCCAGTGTCTTCAAACTTATGTTATGTGAGAAAGAACCGCTGAGGTATTAAGAACAGCACCTCACCACAGTGCAGGCAGCATGAGGAGCTTGGGTGTCATGGGCTGTTGAAATCTGAGTGTCTTTAGTCTGGATTAACATTTTCTCTTCCCAAGGATGGCAGAACTGTGGTGAGGGACCCCTGGCAGCCCGAAGGTCTTGACTCTCGCCCACTAGGGACAGTTTGCCTCAGGAACTGCACCACTTCTCCATGCAGTTCCTGGATGGATACTTAGTGACTGTTAGAAGTGGGAACAAAAGGGGAAAAAGTAAATATATTTTTCTTGTGGAGCTGCATGAAAAAATTTCTTTAGAGTTTTTCAAGCAATTAGCCAAGGGTACTGGATGGCATGTGGAATAGTTCCTAAAAATTAACTGGTCGTGATGCTGCCCTGCATGGAAGTTGATGGATATTAAAGTCACACAGTTTTCAAATAAGTGCAGACAGAAGCGCAGGCAGTTTGCAACCAGCTTGATGCAGCTATACTCTGTTTGTGTCTGTGTGTGTGTATTCATTAAGGGGAGCCATTAGTTCTGTCATCAGTTCTCTAGAGTCAAACACAGGAGACCAGCTATAAGGAGTCTCACCAGCAGGGAGTTTTTGGATGCTCTAGAACTGGGAGAACAGCATCGCTCACTGCCTCGCTCATAAGTTAATCTGTGCATCGTGTTACACAAGTGCCCCTCATGTTTGGCCAGTCTGGCCTGAAAAACATTGGAAGAATTTGGGCTTTTGCACATTTTACCTTTCCTTTAGTAGCATCAGCCATTTGCTCTGGGACCAAACCACTGCTGTGATGCTTTGAACCATGTCGCTGCTGAACATCCTCTTGTGCACTGCAAAGCTATTGGAGAAACATAAACTATTGAAATACAGCAGACAGAAGAAAGACTTTTCACCCTCTAAGACTGTAGTGCTTGAGCTGTTGGTGTGTTTTCACTGTAAGGGATGCTGGGTCAGGGCTCCAGCATGGGACTTCATGCTTTCTCAGGCATCAACTTGGGAAAGTGAGGAAGACAACTCCAGCCTCTTGCTCATCGAATCCCTCAGCATACTTGTCTAACCAAGAGTAAAGGCTAAATAAACACATCTAAACAACTGAAAAGCACATCAACATCCAACTTCAAAATAAAATGCAGTGAAGTGTGAAATTATACCTTTTATTCCATAAATCTTCAGCAACAGACACAGTTCTACAGCTTGTATCACACTTTAGTATTGGCAGAATTTAACACACCATGCAAAGCCCATAAAGTAATTACATTTCATCTCAACAAAGAAACAAAATCCCAACTCATTCAATCCCCTCCATCTGAGGAAGGATTATAGACAATTCAGTGCATGTCGATTTTTCCTAGTGATAAATCCAAAGCAGGTCACCAATGAAATGGTAGTGTGGGTTCCCAAGGCAGCTGATTTACAGGGAAAAATAGAGATGTCATTTGATGTCCTTCAAGACAGTGTCACCCTGCTTTCTGAAACTTCCTGAGGTTTATCCCCACCTAAAAGGCGCTTAAAAATATAAAAGTTAACCTTGAACAGACAATTTTGGCGCTTGGCAACTGCCCCAGTGCAGGTTTGTGTGCTTCATACTGGATTCCCATCTTTTAAAGAGTTATTTCATTTTGCAATAAATGAGATTATATGAGTGATGATAAAGGTGATGATAGAAAGCCAGCAGAAGACACTCACAGCCCCACATCTTGCAAGACCAACCATCAAGCCCCAGGAATCTGGGCACTCCAGACCCATGGGTCAGGCTGGAAATGTTTGTTATCAGCGCATGTGTTGGCTGCCCTTCTGCCAAACCAAGGGTATCTCTGTATACAACAAGCCACAGTTAGTTTAACTAATTTATTGCCCTCAAATAAAGCCTCCAAACTTTAATTAGACCATTGTGATTAAATGCAATTAAAACCCTGAAAGCAAGTCAACAAGGACTGCAGGCACTCTCATTCCCAAAGCCCAGCACAATGCTACAGACACACACAGGAATGGATAACTAAGAGTGAGTCTGAAAGATATTTTTCCCCACCAGGCACAAACTAACATGTCACCAAAGACTTTCTACCATCCCTTACTCAGCCTCTGCAACAGGACAAGACCTTGGAAAGGAAGCCTAAAAGTCCTAAAAGGAGAGATGAATACAATTGCCTGCCATGGTCTGTGTTGGTGCATCAGCTCAAAACGTGATGATGCCCCTCATCGGCACTGGCTGTGATGGGGCTCAGTGATGGCACAGGCACAAAGGAAACTTGCAAATACACGGGTGTTTTCCTTTATTCATTTCCCCAGCTTTGCTTCCTTGCTTCTGACCCAAGCAGACTACGATAAATGTTGCACAGTGATGGAAAATGTGGGGGGGAAAAACCATGGCAGCCTCCCAGTGCCTGGTGCTGTTTTACAAAACTCAAGGTAGACAATGCAGAAATAACTTGTGCAAGTGTTTTCATGCTTTTTCAGCTGATACACCTCGTGAATGTAACTCAGTTCCCAGTTCATTCCAAGAGAGCAAAGACTCAAAACTGTGTTGGCATAATTGAATCTTGTCCATGGAGAGGTCAGATGGAAACCATCATGATTGCTAGGACAGAGAGAGTGACACTGAGCTGAGTGACACGGGGGACTAAATTGTGCTAAGAATCACCTGAACATAGAGTGGTCTTGGTGGAAGACATAAAATTTGATGGGAAATTTTTGTATCAAAAAGTTCACAACCTTACTAGGAGACAATAAGCAGTGGAAGACCAAAACGAGTTAAAAATGGCAAGGAGAGCACTAGTCAGGTTTCACAGGGCAAAGAATTTGGTAATATCATGATCGATTGCACTGAAATAGGAAGACAAAACTAGAAAGGGCTCTGAGAAGCCAGGAAATGTCATTGGGGTAGGGGGACAGTAAGGAGGTGAGCAGAAAGCAAGGAAAAAAAAAATCATATTTCTAAATATAAAGCCTAGCCAGGTCCTTTGGTCCAGGTCTGGTCATTTCTTTTGCCCTTTAGACTTTTTGAAAATCTGTCACTGAGCTATAACTTGAACAACTCCAAATCATTCCTCCTAATGGCACCTGTATTCAGATTTATTTTCTGTAGTGAGCTGGAGTAAAAGGAGAGTTGCAATAGGCACCCCACGGCACACCGGCCACCACGGCTCAGTGTGTGCACGGAGCCAGGAAAAACCCAGCAGGTGCAGGAGAGTTCCCTGAGTTATTTCCTATTCTCTGTCTAGCAATAAAGACACAGCTACACTGGGTGGTAACTCTTAGCAGATGGTGACTTTTTAAAGTTGATTGCTGTATAAATGATACTTTCTGAGTCTGTTCCTTTTAATTCAGATTCTCAGTAGTGTGTTCAAATGTCAGAGAGCATCATATTTCTATCTTTTATTTCCTTTGTGAGCAGAAATCTTCTATAAGAAGTCTAGGAATTACAGCTTGGGAGAGAAGATAGACTCCCTTGATAAAAGTGATCTACTTTACAAATGTTACAGAATACAATAAAAACAGGAGATGCAAAAAGTCCCACTGGCTTTGTTCTCGATGGAGAGTTTGAATTTCTATTGCACTCTTAAAGAGACATTTTGTCTGCATTGTAGTGTTTACTGGATCAGTGAGGTCCATTAGCAGCACAAAGGCAGAATTTCCTCTGCTGCCAGCACAGGGAGGGTAGGGAGTGGGGGTGGAAGACATCCAATTAATCTACTACTGTGGGTAAATAAAAATAACAGGACAGCTGAATGAGGACCTTATTTACCCCCCAGCTGCACTGCAGTTCCAGGCCGGAGTGTCCATGTGCCAGACCCCCATGGCATGCAGGGTTTTGGGCGCTGCACATGCCCCAGATTGGCAGCCACATTAACCAGATTCACAGAGACCAGAGTCAATGCAATTTGGCTCTGGCCGCAAATCCAAAGCCTGTGCCATGGCTCCCAATGGCAAGAGGGCTGTTATATTGCTCCGAGCTACCTGCTGGGTGGTTCACCTGCTTACCCACACTTCTGTACTCACCTGAGCAAGGTGTCATTTCACCATGGTGCTGAGGAACTGGACCTGGACCTGGAAGCTGCAGTTCAAAGACTTTTCTGGTTTTCTACAAGATGTGTATACATGTCTTTTTAACAGTGTCATAGCTGGAAACTGTATCCTCACATACCTTTGTAGCTACAGAGGGTGTTCAGACCAGCATGGGCTGCTTGCCCAAAACTCAGGAGGATCAATGCTCTTCCCTAAAGAGGATTCCCTGCGAGGACAGTGGGTCACCTCTGAGGGCTTCCCAGTACATCATCCACCAAATCAGAAAAGGTACCTCTGACGATAACTACAGTGTATTTTCACAGGTTTCACAGAATATTCTGAGTTGGAAGGGACTGAAAAGGATCATCAAGCCCAGCTCTTGAGTGAATGGCCCATTGAGGGATCCAACCCCCACCCTTGGTGTTATTAGTGATTTCCTGCCACCCTGCTGACCCACACCTAGGACCTGAGTACACCTCCTGATGTGAGTGCTCTGGAAAAAATGGAGGTGAAAAACAGAGCACCTGTGTGCCTTGTACCACTGTGGACCTCTCCCTACCATGGGACAGCCCCTGTGTGCCCAGGTTTGGGAAGATTTAACAAAATAGATGCCACTGTGGCAAACTGGGGAGATTCAAAGGGCTCTGCTACTGTCACTCAACTGCCCTCTGCACTTCACCTCCCCTCAGAGTCTGTGTCTCAGCCCATTTATTTATTGCACCTCATTGGCAAAAAAGGAAAGACATCCCCTGGCCAGAGGGAAATGTCCCAATTAAAGAGTGAACGATGCAGTAAAACAGCAGAGCATTCTTGAGAGCAGCGGTAAAAGCAGCCACCTCTTGTCCTCAATTTATGCTGCTCCCATCACCCTGGGCATTATATTTGTGCTGACAAGGATCAGTTTAACCCCTGCCTACAATCTAATAAAAAGCTGGCATGATGCAAGCATACATAATCTTTCTTCAGTGTCCTAGGAATGGATGCAATAAAAAACTGCTGCTGCTGCTCGATGGCCACAGTCACTGCCTGGAATAAATAACTCCCTGTCCCATACCAGCAGTTGGAAGTGCTTTGGACCAGAGGCTTTTCAGACCCTCATCCCTTTATAGAATCTTGTAATCATAGGGTTGTTTAAGCTGGAAAAAAAGTCTTAGATCATTGCGTCCAACTGTTCCCCTAGCTCTGCCCAGTCCACCACTAAACCATGTCCCCAAGAGCCACATCTACACATCTTTTAAATCCCTCCAGGGATGATGACTCAACCACTTCCCTGGGCAGCCTGTTCCAGGGCTTGACAACCCTTTTGGTGAAGAAATTGTTTCTAATATCCAAACTAAAACTCCCCTAGTACAGCTTGAGGCCATTTCCTCTTGTCCTGTTGCTTGGGAGAAGAGACTGATCCCTACCTGGCTACAATCTCCTTTCAGATAGTTGTAGAGAGCAATAACGTTTCCCCTGAGTCTCCTTTTCCCCAAACTGAGCCCCCTCAGCTCCAGCTTAACACTCCAGCTCATCTCTGAGTGCATCATGTGGCTGGTGGCAGTCACCCATCACCCTTCAGTATATACCAGGGGCAAAGCAAAAGGAAAAGTCCCAAAGGCCCTGCCATAAGTAAACGACGAGATCTTTCCCCTCTCATCATTAATTGACCGAATCAGAGTTGCAGAGCTGACATTACGCTCTGCTACCCTTTGTAATGAAATCACTGCCTGTGCATAAGAAACAAATTCAATGATACGATACTAATAGGGTTAGACATTTCCCATGCAAATATTAATAATTTATATCTACATTCATTTTTTAATACTACTTGGAGTCTGTAACAAGAAAATGCTGAAGTTTACCAGCTTCTCTCACAGATCTTGTCTGGGGAGGGCACAGGCATTACTCAGCTGGAGGCACAGGCTCCCTAACACGATTTCCCTGGAAGTGCAAATTAGCTCTTGGAAATCATGTCCTGGCCTGCAACCATGTTTCAAAAAAGAGATGATGCCTAAACATGAGCGCTGCTTGCAAGGACGAACCAGCAAGAGGAGACGGACCATGAGCCTTAGTGCTGCCTAAGCCCCTTTGCACAAGCAACACCCACACCAAGAGCCAGGACTGCCAATGGCCTCTGCAACAACACAGGGTGGAATGAGCACCAAGCTGTTTCTTGAGGCAGCTGGCAGCAAAAGGAGCAACCTTTGGACTGGAAAGCCAGAGGGATCTGGGGACTATAGGGGGCGGGGTGGGGAAGGCATTTTGTTGCAGAAGTAGGGAGGGATTTGTGCTAAATGTTCTTTTTTTTCCAGCGGTGAAAAAGTCTCCTAAAGGAAGGGCAGTGACTGCGAATCTGCGGGGTTGAAAAGGAAGCTAATTCCCTCGGACAGGCATAATTGCTTCAATTCAGAATGGTAAAAATGTGAAATTAGGAATAATCAATGGCTGTTTATGATCTGTCTCTATACTGTGAATTCAGCTAATACGGAGTAATTACACTGTGCTAATTCCTGGTATTTGTCATCGTTTGGTTGCAGAGGAGTCCTGCAAAACAATAAAAGCAGATTGGCTGCACTGGGCCCGCAGACCAGGGGCTTAGCACTACCCGAGCTAATTTCTCTTTTAATAGTAAAAGTGGTTATGATTTCCCTTATTTATTTTTCTCTCCTGGCAGCAAAGCCGGCGGTGGGCTGTGCGCCGGGCTCGGCCGGGCTCAGGATGCGCTACACAACAGCACCCCCAATAGCCGGCACCGCCGCGCTGCCGGGGACACGCACCGCGCACCAGCCCCTGCCCAGCCGAACACGTCCTGTCTCCGCTGGTGAAACTGCGTCTTCACCTTCTTGCCCAATATTGTTATAACAACCCTCCTATCAAACTTTGTCCTCACACAGTTCTCATCTGGCACGGGGTAACCCTGCCGCATCTCACCCGGATGCTCAGTCACTCCGGAAACCTATGGGATGTGTTTCCCGGCAGTTTGCTGACATGATTCACTCTTCAGGCAATGAAATAGTGCTGGTTATTGACCTCTGCAAAAGTGGGAGACGAGAGGTGAGTACAGGAACAGGATGGTTTATTGGTGGGTGAATAACCCCCCACAGCAGCACAGGTGGAAGGTGTGGGCTGCAGAGACAACCCTCGCCCTCACCCACCTCTGGCACATGTTGTGCAGGAAGTGTAGATGATGTTAAACACTACATAAACCCAGAAGTTACAGGTTGTTCGAAGGTGCTACACTTAACATCTGCAGTACGGGGTTTAGCTCAGCAGGAGCAATCAGAATCCATACACCCACAGTGCTTGTCAGGACAAAGTTTGCAAAGTGGCAGTGGCCAAACCTTTCCTAAGAGAATTTGTCATGACTTCATCCCAGAGAGCACATCCCTGAAAAGCAGTGTGTCCCTGGGCACTGCAGAGCCCCATAGGCAAGGAATCTTTGGGGAAACCTCCTGATGCTGAGCTTTCATGTCCTGGGAGGGACAGTCCTGCAGCCACTGGGGCTATTTGGCAGGAGCCACCAGTGCCCCAAGGCTTCCCACCATCAGCTGAGGGGCCACACACCCAGCACTGACACATGGAGGGAGGATGAGGAGGATGAGGAGAGCAGCTCCTTGCGTACCAGCCCACTCCTGCCAATTCTACCAGGGTGCTCATCACAGTGCAGTGACTTTGTACCACAGACTACTCAATCCCCACCTTTGCACCTTTTTGACATCACATCTATTATTTTTTCTTAATTTCTCTTTCTCTGCATCACACAGAACCCCTGGGGGGAGCCTGAGGATGAGTCTGATGTGATTCCATTGCACTGCACCAGTTAATTGTTTGCTGTGTTGAGATGAAGCTGATGTCCTGTTCCCAGCACTTGACACATTCACTAAAGCTAGGTGGCATTAAAAAAGCCCCCATTTAAAAGCCCCCTTCTGCTGTGTACCACATTGGATGGGCAAAACCTGGGCTACCACAGGATGCAGGAACGGGACAAAAGCCAGCACCAGCACTTGGGCTGTGCCACAGCCACATCCCATGAGGAAAGCACACAGCTCCCCATCCTTTCCTGTGGTTTCAGAGAAACATCTTGGATGAAATGTGCAGTTCCAGAGAGCAGAGGCATTTCAAGCAAGATTTCTTTGTTGTGATGACAAGGCTCCTGGCCCTGCTGATGGTTTTTGCTCATTTCCTCTGCAAGCAGCAGCAATGCCTCCATCTCCATAGAGGACTCAGAGGCCTCAGGTGCCTTGAAGCAGGAGGAGAAATTCATCACGTAACTGACCTCCCCCAGGGCACTACCATCCCCATGCCATGGGCCAGCTCCTGGATGGGTGGGAAGCGGGTAGATGGAGCAGGGACACATGCTCTGGCACGCCAGGGCTTGGGGCACTTGGTTATTGAGCTGAGCCGGTTATTGCCAGCAGCTAAACAAATTAATGGGAAGGATATTTCCCTGGAGAGAGAGAAGGTTTTTGATTTAGACTGTACTGTTTAAGCTTAGACTCTCACCGCAGCTAAAATTTCCTTCTGAGGGCAATAATTATCCCAGTGCAGAGCCCAAGCATGTGTTTGCTTTTCTGCTCCCTGTCTGGAAGGGTTTGGTTTAGGGGTCTTTGATTTCCCCTGGTGCTCAGCACCCCCTGCACCCCTTGCCCAGCTCTGGGGACCAGAGATGGAGGGAAGCAAAGAAAAGCTCAGTGCACAGCTTTATGCAGAGATCACCCTCAGGTATTAAACTAATTACCAGGGAGAGGCACTGGTCCCTCAGGGGTTCTGCTCCAGCCCTCTGCAAGCTGCAGTCCAAAGGCAGTGCTGCTGCCGCCAGCCCTGCATTTCCTCCACTGGTTCTGGAATGAAAATTGCTTTAAAAGCTCCAAGAGAAGTCATTCGGTTCTTCTAAGTGTTGGGAATGGAAAAGAAAAAGGAAAGAAGGAATGGGAACAATTTCGTTCTTGCTAGCAGGTAAATGAGGTTCAGCTTTTGAAAATATATAGGGCCTCTAGTGCTAACTGCAGGGCTGGAGTCTCCAAGGAGTGATTTCTTCCTTCAGAACCATAATAATAACAATAAATGATTAAAAAGAAAACAGCCTAAATCTATATCTGTAGTTAACTCAGGACTCCTTCAGAGTTCAGGTCTGTTGCTGAATAAATAAACTCTTACTTGAAAAAGGAACCTCCCACCTCCTGCAAATGAGAGGTAGCGAAGCAGTGCTCAGGGGCAGCCCGAACACGTGCAGCACAGCCAGGGGGAAATCCTGCCAGATCAGGTTATTCTGGCTTTACTCCAGATTGGGGAACACCAGGCCTGGCTTCCTGCCCACCCGCTCCCATTGCAGAACCCTCCATCAGCCACGCTGCCCAGTGTGCTGGTTTGGTGCAAGACAGAGAGTCAGGCCAGTGACCACCCTCAGAGAGGTTTTTCTTTTCTGATGTGCCAAAAAAGTGAGTGCCAAAGTAGAGAAGACCTCCAAAAGAAACACATGAGGTCATGGCCACAGGAATTACTGTTTCCTCCCTCCCATGGAACAGCTGCTCTCAACCACTGCCGGTCACTGCGCCCTGTGGGCTGACACACCGGGTGCTCAGCCCCACACCAGGCAGTGAGATAAGGCTCAGGGAGGTACCATGAGTCACAGAGGGCTGGGCAGACTTGGCAGCTGTACTGCCACACTGCCCAGCACATGGTGCCCCAGCTCCCTGGTACGCCCCAGCACCCACACAGCCTGCAGAGAGGGACAGCACAGCTGGGACACTGAAAGGTACGTAAACTTGTCCCATCCCTGACTGGGGAAATGTGGTTTCTAGAGCATGACTGAAAGAATGCTTTTCTTTTTACTTGCTGGCAGATTAGAAGGTTGTGTGGGCAAGGTTTTGGTTGTTCCTCCTTCCTGTAGACAGGAGGTGAAGGAGAAGCCCCGTGCACTGGCATTCCTTCCATGAGATGCAACTGTGCTGGTTTCATGGTCAGAACTAATGAACTGCCTGTGTTAACAGGGATCTGTGATGTGGTGGAATCAGCTGTGTGATGTGGGGTCCAGGTCAAAGCCCTTTATCCGTCATGCCTATGGATGAATTTGCAGGATGTTCACTGTGCAGAGTGTGTGGTTCATCCAAGATCAGGCTGCTGCTCAGGTTATCGTGTGTTTTTTCTTGCACTACTGAGAGAGACGCAGTCTTGCTGCCCACACAGCACCAATAGGGAGGGAAACACTTTCTTTAAAAAACTGATGGCATCATCTGAAGTTTTGAGAAACCAGACTAGATGGAAGGGAAGGAGGACATGAGGTGGCAAGTGCTTCCTGGTAGAAAGCAGCAAACATTGGTCAACAACCCTGGATTGTACTGGGGGCAGTTTTGGCATAAGATGTCCTCTCCAGCCATTTGGTGGATCCAGCAGCTGGCCAAGCATTTTTATGAGCAGAGGAATTTATAAGCCTTCTGGCAAACAGCCCCCTCCAGTTGAGTAAGCTGGCAAAACTCAGTCAGATTGACTCCTTTTGAGACTGAAAATGGCACTGTAGCATCCTCCGTTCTCCTGTGGTAGGATAAACCCTGAACATGGGGCGGATGTGCACCCACCCAACACCAGTCCCTTCTCTGCATCCCTGCATTCAATTTTGCTGGAAAACCTGACTGTTGAAGGGGTGACTCGATGGGTGTGGGCAGTCACCCTCTTTGGAGCCCCAGCCCCACCCCACACCAAAATGCTCGTGTTCACAGTCCGGGACCTGCTGGGAAACAGAGGGACATGCAGGGCTCAAAAGCAGAAAAAAAAAATAGAAAAAAAAGGCAGGAGTTTGTGGGGAAGCAAAGTAAAGTTTTCCTGCAGTGCCAGGAGGCAACAGAACATTCACCTGCTGAATCCTGGAAAACCAAACTTGGTTTGTTCTTCACAGCAATTAACTCAGCTCTGCTAAGCGGCACTTCCTTCCAGAGCAGGCTTGGGTGCAGCCTTTGCCTTATAACACCATGAACCTCTTTAGCAATATTTGTCCAAGAACTTTTTTGTTCCTGGAATGCTTTTTAAGCAAATAATTTCAGGTTTATTAGACAAATAACTGTTTGACACCTGACACAGTTCCTTCCTTTCTCCCTCGCCTGCCAGCAGGTCTCTGGCAGATGTCAGAGTACAGGTGCCTTTTATTCTGGCAGAACGCTAGGAAGAAAAAAAAATATTCAGTGCAAACAATTATAAAATAATGTAATATAAATAACTGGACATGGTTACTTTCTTGTAATGCAATCAAGTTCCAGGATTTTCATTGCCTACGGACTTCACCCAATAAATTTTATCTGGGATTAAGGTGAAGATAAACAGCCCAAATAAATACATCACTTCCCTAAAGCACTGGTATTTATTGGTTTATTTTTCCATTTCTCTTCCTCTGCAATGAAATCGGTATGTGCATAGAAAAACCACAAATTTGGTAAAGGAGAGAACTATGCAAGGGGCCCCTGTGAGGCCAATGGTCACTGTAGAGGTGAGGACCAAACAGGGAGGGTTTTGCAAACTCAGCGGAATTTTGCTCCACTCACTGTGTCCAAATTACAGTCCAGGTCTGAATCCTCACCAGCTCCAGGCTCTGCTCATGGCACTTGAGGGGAAGCCAACGAGCTCCAGAAGCAAACCAATACCAATTCTGAAGTTCTTGTGTCTTGCCAAGTGAAATTCTGAGGACTGCCCCCATTTTCTGACCCCATCACTAGATCAGGCACTGTCATAGGGGAGCCAGGACTGGAATAGGGTCCCTGCATTTAACAAGCAGAACTTCATGCTGAAAGGAGCAAAAGAGAAGAGCCTGATACTGCCCCTCCAGATCCAGCCACAGGCAGCATTCATCCTCTAAAACCTTTAAACCATCCTTTTTCAGGTCTGTGGCTCTTCTACCAGCTCAGTGAAATGGGCCTGTTAATCCCAGCTCCAACACAAGTTTTAAAATCTGTTTCAGAGATAGTGTGCTGGGGGCTGGGATGAACCAGGACAAGGTGGTGTGGGGAAGGGCTGTGGAAATCACGGACCCCCCCCCCCCCCGACACCTCCCACTGGGACAGATTCCTGTTCACAGGCCCCTTCCTCTGGGAGGAATAGCTGCTGGGCAGAGAAGGGCGATGCTGCTGGGAAGCTGTGAGCTCAACTGATACACTATCAAAAACACACTGTCATGATACCCTAGGGTATAGAAATACCTTCCAAAGCCTCCTTTAAAACACAGACAGGCCAGTCTCCCATGGGAAGCTGATAATTCTCTGCTGGAGCAGCTCCAGCATATCCTCCTTGCTGCATGGGCCCAGCGGAGGGGTCTTATGGGGGAGCAGTGCCGGGCTCCAGACACCTGAAACATCACTGAGGCGCTGCCTAAAAGCCCAGACAATGATGCTGCAACCTACCCCTGGGTGTAGGGAAAACCAAGGGGAGCATCATATCAGGGCACTGAGGGGGAATGCAGGTCCATCCCACCCAGGGCTCAAGGCAGAACACGCACCACAGCCATGGTCAGTAATACAGGAAGCCCTGGGAGGGGACCCGGAGCAGGGCTGGGCAGGAGGCAAAGCTCTTCTCTGCTTCCTCATGACGCAGCAGCCTGAAAGCAACATTCAACCCAGCCCTGCTAAAACCCGTTGCTCCTTATTTACCCATCAAACAGGAAAAGCAACTCTCAGCACGGCCCTTTTACAAATTTTCTGTCAAACAGCACTTATAGGGCTGTTCAGTTAACATCAGGCTCATTAACTAGGAGTGTTAACATCCATCTCACAAGTGACAATTTGCCTTAGGAGTCCAGGGTGGTTTCCACGACAGACGTTCACCAGACTGCAGCCTGGAATTTCAAAGGTAGGAGTGGGTCCCTAGCCCCTGGGAGCCCAGTGCATGGGGTGGCGGGTGCCTGTCCCGTCGGTCAGGGTGGCAGGGGGAGAGAGGGCAGCAGATGGACTTGCTCGGGTAGGAAATAATTCATGCTCCAAATTACAACCACACCCCATCCCTGTGGGTGAAGTTGCTCCAAGATTTGGCTGAGTGGGAATATTTCTGGTTTTAAGTTGGGTGTCTGCAAAGCTGCCTGCTCTGCCCAGCACAGTGGTGCTGCCCTTCTTCCTTTCTCCTTTGGATTTGAAGGAGGACAAGCTCGTTCACAGAGGTTCCCCTAACTGGGTAAGGCCAGATCACAGCTTGTCCTCGGACAGCATTTTGCAGCTCCTAATATTTAAAACCTACTTTGCATCATCCCAGAAGGAAATGCAGCAAAGCTGTGACTGAAAATATCCACCTCATCAGCAGAATAGAAAAAACCTGATCCATTACCAAGAGCACAACATGAAACAGGAGCACAGGGGGCAGCAGACAGACACAGGGAAGGGTTCTGAGACTTCAGAGGGATCGAGCTCTATCAGTGCAGCCTGCTCCAGCATACAGAGCCAGGACTTATCAGGGTGGGACCAAGAACATGTGCCTGATAGGAATTTGTACATCTTTGATGATGCCTTAGATATTAAAAATACAACTAAACATAGCTATTATCTTTTCATTCAGAATCTGCCTGGCTTTGCTGGGTTACAGGTACTCTTTATGGCATTGCCTTCTTTTCTTCAGGGTGACCTGTGACCATTGGCCACCCCCTCAACTGTGCTCTCCCTCCCCAACACCATGCGGATATCAGGTGAGGGGGACATATTTACTTTTCTCCATTCTTCTACAGTTCCTTATGCCTCCTTCTCATTTACATGATGCCTTCCAAGCCCTGACCTTTCCCTGCCAGGCACATGGGAAAAGGCCTTTGTGTAAGCATCAGGTTTTTACAAGATTTGTGTAGATTTCAGCCTGTTGTATTTTTCCCAGTGAAACCTTCTGTGTCTGGGAAGAGATGGCTATTGAGACGCTCCTGGTTCCATAAGAGCTATTCAGCTGCAATAAAAGTACATTTTTCTACTCTCTTTCCATGCAGGACTGGAACGTTTTGCTCTGATGAGCGCTGTTTTAAAGCCAAGTGCCAATCACATTTGTATCAGCAGCTGCTCAGCTGTAGCAAGTGACTAATTGGGGGATAGCAGTCTTCCCAGCACTGGGAACATAAGAAATATTTGGATTTACATAGCTCTCTGAGTAATTATCAGATTTACTTTAATGTAGAGAGAAATATGAATAGTGCCTCCCAGTAGAACGGTAGTGCCTATCTGAGCATCACCACATACTCCAGAGATATTAATTAAGAGATCGGAATCCATTTAGATGGTGAAGGAGTGTTAGCTGCCTTCCCACACCATTGTAAGCACTGGCTGTCACCCTGAGCCTGGTAACCTTGGGACAGACAAACTAAGTCCCCAAGAAACCAGAGGGATGCCCTGGTCTCTGGTCCAGCTGCGGCTGCTGCTCTCACCTGGCTCCTCTCCCGCACCTTGCAGGTGTGATCCGGTGCGTGGTGCTGCTCATCACACTGCTGGGCACATGGTTCATCATGCAGACGTACTTCCACCACAGCTGGAAAACCATCAGCCTGCGAAGCTGGCTCGGTGAGGCACCAACGGGGCTCCAGCCAGATTCAGAGGGAGGGTGTGGGAGGTTCCATTGCAAGGCAACCCCCAGAGCTGGATACAGTTGCCACAAATATTTGCTTGCAATCTCTGGCCAAGGCTATAACCACTAGCTCTGACCATAAGGGCAGGGAGGGGACAGCATAGTGGGAAGCTGCACTGGGGCAGCATGGGTCCGGGGATGCCTGCAGCCACAGGAACCAGTTTTGGGGAGCTGGTGCCTGAACAGCTACTCCAGGCTTGGGGAAGAGCCAGCTGCTCTCTGGGGTGTCTAACCCTCCTGCTTGATACCCACAGGTGCCAGGAACAAGCCCAGCAGTGAGTACTGCTCTCGACTTCATCTCTGTCCCACAGCTCCACTCCAGGGTTGAGGGTGATGGTTGATACGCGATAGCTGCTCTCAGAGCCAAGGCAAAAATCCCACTCTCCCAAGCACAGGAGGATTTGCTATTGCACACAGCAGTGGAGTTTTGGCAGGCTCTGCAAGCACACAAACCTTCATGCAATCGCCCTGCCCCCAGCAGAAACACCCCCAGGGCATAGAAGGAAGTTCATGGGTCCTGCCAGGTGGGTCCCTGCCTTGGCAAAGAATTGGAAAACTCTGGGCAGAAAAGCCCTGGGGGTCTGGCCTTGGATGCCAGCTCCAAATGCTCCTGGCACACAGCCCTCTGACCCCTATGGCAGCAGCTGTGCCATCCCACTGCTCACACCCAGAGCAGCACCCAGCAGCACCAACTCAGACCTCCCACCCCAGGCCTCAGCACCGTAAACCTCAAACACGAAGCTGGTCCCAGCCCCAGGACAAGCCTCCTTCATGCAAGAAGCCGGTCCAGGTGTTACCCCCTTAGTGGGCCACTATCCCCAGTTCCAGCCTTGCTCAGCCACTCGGGGGCATGGCCTGTGTCCCCCTGTGGGGTCAATGCCATGACTTGCAGCTCCGCTCCTCCCTTGCAGGTGACAAGCTGCCCCGGCACAAGTGTGGGAACCAGAAGAGCTGCCCTCAGAATTATTTTGCCTTCAAGATCATCAGTGGTGCTGCAAACGTGGTGGGACCCTCCATCTGCTTTGAAGACTTGGTGTAAGTAGCACATGGCAGGAACAGAGCAGCCGTGGCTGGCCTGGCCTTCAGTTTGGCCTCTGCCAAGCACATCAATGGCTGTCACAGTGTATTTATGGTTAAAAAAAATTTCTGTAAATAGATTTCTTTGCTACCACTTCTGGAGTATTTTGCTGTCTCCAGCTTCTTTGCCCCATCACAGTTTCACTAGCACCAGCATCTCCAGGGCATCCCTGTACTCACTGTGCTCTCTGCTTTCCTTTCCAGCCTCATGAGCAGCATCAAAAACAACATTGGCAGAGGCCTGAATATTGCACTGGTGAATGGTGAGTCGGGTGGGCACTGACCCTTTCTCCCCACGGCCAGGTTTCCTTCCTCCCCCAGGAGAGAACAGGCCACCAGGGACCCCATCCCAGGTACTGTGGCTGAGCCAAAAGCACGCCCACCTGTTGCTGCATGGGGCACACAGCCACAGTTATGGTTGCAAGCACTGCCAGTGAGAAGGGAACAAACCCACCTGGGTCAGTTCCACACGCATGACAGTTCCACAAGCTCCTCCAAGCAACACAGAAGATATGACACACTGAGGAAAGAGCAAAGCATTTGGAAGAGGAACCCCAGGCCTATGGCCAGGCAAAGTCTAGAGCCACTCCAGTGCAAACTCACTGTGCTCTGTTTTCAATTTTAACCTTTCAGGAACAACTGGGAAGCTCCTGAAAACTGACTCATTCGACATGTACTCTGGAGGTGAGCACCATCACTCTGCTGCTTAGTGGTTCCCAGCCAGGGCTCACACCAACACTGCTGGCTGCTGGCTACTTCAGCTGCTCCTCTGTCATGTATTTAACCATAAATTTGAGTGGACTTTGACCAGAATTGCCAGCCTGGGTGGTAAAAGCCCAGCTTTCCCTGAGGCCATCAAGCCTGGAGTCCTCACAATGCATCCACATCCAAGATAGGCTTCTCACTCCTTTTACATGCACCCAGTAGCCTGAAAAACATAATTTCACTAACCTGAATAGACCAGGGCACTTGAGATTTGAGAAAGGTACTTTCTCAGATCAGGTAGTTACACTAATCCTGATATTTTGCAACTTGCAATTCGGTTTTTGAATGCTGTTGGTGGCTGAGCAGCAGTTTGTTTCCCTGCCTTTCATGGAAGGATAAATGAGGGAGCTCAGGGCATGGCAGTGAGACATGGCCCCTGGGCCCAGCAAGGCTGGACACACGGAGCAGAGCTTCGTTGCAGCAAAGACCTGTGCCTGCTGGCTTCAGACAATATTCCTAGCAGCAAATAGATGCCCTGAGCCAGGGCAGCACCTGGCTGACACTGACATGCTGGATGCTGAAAATCCCACCACTGTTGCCAAGCTGTTACCAAATCGCTCTGCAGCTTTGGCAGGACTCATCAAAACCACATGTTAAAATCACCCTTGTAGTCCTTTCGATTTTCCCTTTTCTGTTTAAGCCTTCCCTAGAGATCAGTCCCCCTCTATGCTCCTTGGTTTTGCCACATATTCTTGATAACTCTGGATTTTTAAGGAGGATCACCAATATCATGGTATTTCCAGCTGAGTTCATGAGCAAGATGCTCGGTAGAAGAGGTACTGGGAACGAGAAGGCAGTCGGCTCCTGTGCCACTAGATGGGGCATTGGATTCAAGCATCCCACAGATGCAGGATGAGGAATAACTCCCTCAATACAGCCATGATTGCAGGGCAGGCAGCTCTGTGCCTGGGCAGGTTCATTTCTTGTGTCAGGAAGTAAATTCACATAACTAGATTTCACAGTTAGTGAGCAAAGTTTAGAAGCAATTTCCCCTCTGCATGTGTACTGAGAGGAGGACATCAGTCCTGGGCACTGCAGGAAAGCCCAAGGGGAACGTAGGATGGGAAATGCAGCATCTGGGAGCCCACCCTTCCCCAAGTCCATGGCCCCAAATCCTGGCTAGCACCAGCATTTCTCACTGACCTAGGGGAGGCTCCCCCAACTACAACACAGCAGTCCCTGCTAAATCCCTTTTTCTCTCCCTAATGCTCTTCTCTCCCAGACATTAAAAAGCTGGAAACCTTCCTCCAAGGGATCAAGCGCGGCACCCTCGTGCTGACAGCAAGCTACGATGATCCTGCCACAAAGTGAGTTTGCCCATGGCAGCAACACTGGGCTCCCCAAAAACCTGCAGCTGGGGGAGCTGCCAGCAGCAGAGAGGGACAGGAGGGGACACCCACCTGGCAGCACACTGCCACCCTCTTACCCTCTTTCAGGATGAATGACAATATACGGGCGTATTTCATGGAGCTGGGCAGCAGCCACGTGAGTGAGCTGGGCTTCCGGGACAACTGGGTCTTCTTGGGAGCAAAAGGGCTGATGAACAAGACCCCCTTTGAAAAGGTATGTGGTCCTCCCCTGATACCAGCTCTGGAGGCTCCATCCTCTTCATAGCACCTCCCAAGGTATATCTCACCTACCTGTCTGCAGAAGACAAGGGCCAGTGGCATTATCCTCCACGACAAACCAAGCTGCAACTTCTGCCACGTTGCAAACTTGCACTATGCCACCAACCTCCTCATTCGTTTTCTCTCTCTCTTTTTTCTTGCAGCACATCAAAAATGATAAGGAGACAAATAAATATGAGGGCTGGCCTGAGCTGCTGGAGATGGAGGGCTGTGCCCCCAGGAAGATGGATTAGCATCAAGGTCTAGCCTGCCACACAGGGCAGCCTCCACCAGTCACACAGGTACACCAGCTCCATCGTGGGGATCCCAGCCTCTCCACTTCCCAGTCACACAGCCCAGCAGCTGCTGCCTGCTCCCAGGAACCGTCTGTTTCACAGCAGGAACTGTGCAGGATTTGGAGAAGAGCTGCACAAGTGCTTGGAGAGCCTGAGCAAACACCTGGCCAAGTTTCAGCCAAGCTGTCCTCCTCTATGGGTCACTTTGGGGTATTTTATTTTTCTGTCTTTAAACTAAAAACTTTGTAGAATGTCTTTTAAATTTCTGAAATGAGATTTCTAATTATAAAACACTACCTTCTCATTTCCATTTTCAAGCGTAATCCACACTTTCCCCCACAGGCACAGCATGCCAGGTCCTCTGCCACCAGTCAAGCATCACCATCACCCATTCCACAGCCCTGCACATGGGTGCTCCCCCTCCCCACGTGGCACA